TATGATAGTAAGGCAGCAAGTAATTCAACCAAACAAATATAACAAGACAATAATAAACCAATCACACAAGACACCAAGATTTACGTGAAAAACCCTTCGATGTGAAGAGTAAAAAACCAAGGGACCAAAAGCTCCACTATAATCACCAAGAGTTACAATATTGTTCTCCAAAATTTGCCACAAAACAAGTGTCAAACAACGAGCAACAACAAAATAAGATTGCACCAAATGTGGAGAATTAAAGGAGCAAAATCACCAATTTTGCAGCTACTGTTCACGACAGCAAAACTGAATCTGTTGGCCACCAAATACAACTCTGTCAGTTCCTAATCAAATATTGAGATGAATATAATCTGCTGTCCAAAAATCAGCTCAATCGAACAAGAAACGAAGCGGGAATCGCAATTTGAATTGGCTTTTAGGGCTGAATTTTGACTGCGAAAACTGCTCTCTTTCTTTCTTTTTGGTTGCTTAAAAAACTCTCTATATATATGAAAATAAGACCTAAATAGGCTTATATTTGCCTCATAAGAATGGGCCTATGGGAAAATATGGGTTGGTCCAAATTGGGCTTTTATTTATCCACATAGGAAGAGAAAAAGGCACATAACCCAACAATTCTCCCCCTCACGACTATGTGGAGGAGACCGCCATCCCGGCGACCATGCAACAATCTTCAATCTTCCCTCTTGGCAAAGCTTTAGTCATCATATCGGAACCATTATCATTTGTATGAATCTTTTCAAGATCAAGCAACTTAGAATCCAACACATCTCGAATCCAATGGTATCTCACATCAATGTGTTTAGACCGACCATGGAACGTAGAATTCTTGCCAAGATGTATAGCACTTCGACTGTCACAATAAATCACATACCTCTCTTGAGCACAACCAAGTTCCCCCAAAAATCTCTTCATCCAAATCAATTCTTTACAAGCTTCAACGACAACAATAAGCTCAGCTTTTGTAGTAGATAGAGCAACACATTTTTGTAACCTAGATTGCCAAGACACAGCTCCCCCTGCAAAAGTAACCAAGTACCCTGAAGTAGACTTGCGAGTATCAACATCACCAGCCATGTCTGAATAAGTATAACCACAAAGAATAGGCTTCTCTATACCAAAACACAAACTCAGACTAGAAGTGCCTTAGAGATATCTCATAACCCACTTCACAACATTCCAATGTTCTCTTCCCGGATTAGAAAGAAAATGGCTAACAACTACCAACAGCGTGAGCAATATCCGGTCTTGTACAAACCATCGCATACATCAAACTACCAACAGCTGAAGCATAAGGAACTTTCTTCATATCTTCCTTCTCATCATCACTAGAAGGACACTGTTTCGTGCTCACTTTGAAGTTCATAGCTAAAGGTGTACTGACAACCTTAGCTTTGTCAATGCTGAATCTGCGAAGTACTTTCTAAATGTACTTCTCTTGTGATAATACCAATTTCTTGGCCTTTCTATCACGGACAATCTGCATGCCAAGAATCTGTCTTGCTGGTCCTAAGTCTTTCATAGCAAAAGACTTACTCAACTCTTGCTTCAACTTCTGAATCCTGCAAGTACTATGACCAACAACAAAGCATGTCATCAACATAAAGCAACACAATAATAAAGTCACCATCAGAGAACTTTTGCACAAAAACACAATGGTCTGAAGAAGTCTTCTGGAAGCCCTGCTGACTCATAAAAGAACCAAACTTACTGTACCACTGCTTGGGAGCTTATTTCAAACCATACAAGCTCTTCTTCAATTTGCAAACATAATTCTCTTTACCCTTGACTTCAAAACCTTCCGGTTGCTCCATATAAATTTCATCATCTAAGTCACCATGGAGGAAAGCAGTTTTAACATCCATTTGCTCAACCTCTAAATCTAGACTTGCAGCCAAGCCTAGAACCACACGAATGGATGACATCTTCACAACTGGAGAGAATATCTCATCAAAATCAACTCCCCTTTTCTGATTAAATCCCTTGACAACTAATCTAGCTTTGTACCTTGGAGCTGGATTACCATCTTCATGTTTCACCCAAAAAACCCACCTGTTTTTCAAAGCTTTTGTCTTTAAGTAACTTAACCAAATCAAAGGTATGATTATCATGCAAGGATTTAATCTCATCTTCCATAGCATCAAACCACCTTTCTTTTTCTTCACTTTCGATGGCCTCATCAAGATTCTCAGGTTCTCCCCCGTCAGTCAAGAGTACATACTATTGGGAGAATAACGAGATGAAGGAATTCTCTCTCTACTAGATCGTCTGAGAGAACTCTCTGGAGCATCTATAATTGGTTGTTGGACAACCACATAATCTTGCACTGGAGCATCAACAACATCATGCCGGTCATTCTGAACATGATCACCATCTTCATTATCAACTTGATTTTCATCATTGTGAAAATTTTCTTCCGGTGCAATAGTCAAAGGAACTGGATCAACATCAACTAAGCTCCCACTACTCTGAAAATCAGCCTTGTCAGCTTTGTCAAAATCTTCAATTGTTTGGTCTTCAAAGAACACAACATCACGACTTCTAACAAGTTTCTTCTCAACAGGATCATAGAAACGATAGCCAAATTCATCTTGACCATAACCAATGAAGATACACTGCCTAGTTTTAACATCCAACTTTGATCTTTCATCCTCAGGAACATGTACAAAGGCTTTAAACCCAAAGACTCTAACATGATCATAAGAAACATTCTTACCAGTTCAAACTCTGTTAGGGACATCACCATCTAAAGCAACAGCAGGAGATAAATTGATAACATAAGCAGTAGTATTAAGTGCTTTTGCCCAAAAGGAATCTGACAGCTTAGCATCTGAAACCATACATCTAACCCTCTCAACTAGAGTTCTGTTCATCCTCTCTGCTAAACCATCTAACTAAGGAGTCTTTGGAGGAGTTTTCTGATGCCTAATATCCTGCTCTCTGCAATATCTATCAAAAGGAACAATATACTCACCACCATTATCTAAGCGGATGCATTTCAATGTGTTCCCTCTTTGTCTTTTAACCAAGGCCTGAAAACTCTTGAACACATCAGGTACTTGATCCTTGGACTTCAAAGGAAATACTAGAGTTAGCGAGAATGATCATCAATAAAAGTCACAAAGTAAAGTGCACCACCATGAGATCTTAACTTAAAAGGACCATACAAATCAGAATGTACCAATTCTAGCAAATCAAGCTTTCTTGAAGGCGGATGACTCTGAAAAGAAACTCTTTTCTGTTTACCAGCTAAGCAATGAACACATTTCTTCAACTTTGCTTGTTTCACTCCAGAAAGCAATTTTTTATTAGCCAAACTATCAATCCCCTTCTCGCTCATATGACTCAGCCTTCTATGCCATTACTCTGATGAAGTATCATTGTCCACCAAATTTACTGAGTCTCTGGACATGGAGCCATGAAATACATACAAGTTAGACAACTTGTCACCACGGGCCACAACCATCAAACCTCTAGTAAGCTTCCACTGGCCAACACCAAGTGTATTAACATAACCCTCATCATCAAGATATTCCACAGAAATAAAATTCAAGCGAACATCTGGAGCATGCTTGACATTATTGAGAACTAGTTTGGAACCATTGTTACTTTCCAAACAAACTGTCCCAATCCAATAACTTCAACTTCATGATTATTGCCCATTTTCAACGTTCCAAAATTAACTGGAGTATAAGAAGAAAATAATTCCTTCGTTGGCTTGACATGAGAAGTAGCACCAGAATCCACAAACCAGCTAGACTCATCACGAACAAGATTAATGTCATTTGCATCACAAGAAACAAGAAGATCATCATTAGCAACAACAGCAACACGATTTTCATTATCGCCTTCTCTCTTTTGTTGTCTCATATCTCTCTTGTGCTTGTAACAATATTTCATGATATGCCCATTCTTATGGCAATAATCACATGTAATATTCTTGTATTTAGACTTTGACTTGCTTCTACTT